GGGCCCCGTCTTCTATCCCCAGCTCCTTTGACAACATGTGGCGATGCCCTCGGAGCATCTCAACCATTGTGTGTGTCCACGAGCCTGCCTGCGAGCCTGCAGACTGCAGCGGCCACGGGGACTGCGTGCAGGGACAGTGCCACTGTGCTGGGGACTTCTGGAGAGGCCCAGCCTGCGACACCTTGGACTGTGGCCCTTCCAACTGCAGCCTGCATGGCGCCTGCACTGCCTGTGAGTCCCTGCTGCACGCGGCTCGGCGGGTACCAACAGCTCCCCCTGAGCTGACCTCTCAAAATCCGAGCAGTGGGAGGTGATCTGGGAGCTGTCGTGGGTGGGCGTTTGTGCCTCAACTCAGTGAGTTGTTCGGGACTCCACTTCTGATGGTTCCCTGGCAGAAAGCAGCCTGATCTCAAGGCTCCTGGTTCTGAGTTCCTGCTATTTCTAAACCTGTGTTGTAGCTGTTAATGCCTGTTTGTTTTTACACAGCTGGATGCCTGTGTGAGGCTGGCTGGGTTGGCAGCAACTGCAGTGAAGGTAATGCTGATTTCTACTCCACTCTGATTTTTCATAGACAACAAGGGATAATCTGAACCCCTTCACTGTGGGCTGGCTGCCTGCAGTGGTGAGGAGGTTCCTCTGAGAGCCTTTTCCAGGAGGGAGCAGCAGGGGGGGGAGGCTGCAGTGTGCTCTCCTTTGTCAGTGTGAGTTTAACTGCAGAATTTACAGTAGGGTCGCTGTGAAACATTTCAATTTAAGCCCTTTGCAAACCACCCTTTTCCTTTCATCTGCTCCCTGGGTCGAGACCCAGACTCACCTGCTTTCCTGAGCAGACATCAACATCCCAGGCCAGGGAATGCTCTGGGCTATAAGCATGGGGTGAGGCTGCTTATGACTGCGATGAGGCCTGATGAGATTTCTGCTCCCCTGCAGCTTGTGTCAGTGGTTTCTACGGGAATGCTTGCAGCCAGAAATGCCAGTGCCAGAATGGTGGCTCGTGTGACCCCGTGCATGGAGCCTGCTCCTGCCCAGCTGGGTACTATGGCACAAGCTGTGAGCATGGTAAGGACTGGGGAGAGGCTTTCTTGTCTTGTTTGAGCCACCTCACATTGGCAAATCAAGCGTTGAGGTCAGTTTCACAGCTGGAGTGTAAGGTTTCCAGCTTAAGGGCCTTCCTTCCAACTTGAGTTGGCTAAAATGAAACAGAGGGAGCAGAGAGGAAAAGGGGGTTCTCTTTGTCATTAGAATGGATCCCTGTTGAGTCTCTGCCCAGAAAAGCTGTGTTGCTTTTCCAAAGCTCCTGAGTAGAACATGAATACCTGCACGCCCTTCCCTTGGAGGTGCTGTGGCCAGGCTCTGCCTGGAGCTCAGCCTTCAGGTGAGCCAAGTCAGCGGCTGCCAAGACTCCTGAGGGCCCTTCTGGCTTCCAGCCTTGGACCTGCACCTGTGCATATACAGCAGTAACAGAGCTGGCAACTCATTCAGTTGTGTAACTGCAGCTTCCCTGAAGCACTCAAGGCTCCTGCAAACCTGACTGAACAGCCTGCTCTGCCGACAGGACAAGTTAATTATGGTGTGGGTGTGAACTTCTGCTGTGCATAGTTACTTTAGTGATGCTTTGTTCTCAGCATAGAAACACTCAGCCTGATCCCAATTTTACAAAAACCTCTTTGAACTGAACAGAATAATGGCAGTTAACTTAGAGTTCGATGCTTTCAGGCTGCTGGGGAACACAGGGGGAGGCAGACAGCTTTGTCAAGCTGCTGGAAGCTTTGGGATTGGGAATCTGATCATTCAGCACAGCTAAAGAGGTCTGGATACTTGTCTTCAAACACAAGCACCTCCTTCCCTTTAGGGATTGGCCATTACACCACCTCAGCCCCCTCCAGCTTTTGCTTACAAGCCAAAGAGTAGGATGGTAGCTCAGAGGTGGCAGGGAGGAAAACGCATTGAAAGCAACAACGCCTGAGACTGCTATGGGGCCAGAAGCAACCTGAACACCTGAGCTACGTGCAAAGGTTGAGGTTCTCCTAATGAGCACATCCCTACCTCCTGACACACTGCTGGTGCAGCTGACAGAACAGGCATGGAGGAAGGGTTGGGGATCAGGGGGAACTGCAGGGTGAGAGACTGGATGAATTCAAAGCACGTGGAGGTTTGACAGCAGCTGACTTCTTTGTAATCCATTCCCTAGCATGCCCCATGGGCAGGTATGGGCCCAACTGCCAGCAGCTCTGTGCATGTGAACACTCATGTCCCTGCAACCCACAGACAGGCAGCTGTAACATCACCTATGAAGTGGCAATACAGGACCAGCTCAGCAAAGGTACTGCTCACTACAGTGGTGTGGGGTGGGTTGGTTTTTTTTCATATTTGTTTTTCTTTTGTTTTCTTGTGCATTTGGAAGAGCAGCTTTGGCACATGTTCTGTTTGCTTAGTTTCAAGGCATGGGTTTCTGTTACCTTCATTAAGCTTACCTTTGTTACGTGGAATTTTAAGCTCTCACTTTCTTCCCTCTGTTCTTTTTTGTTTTCCAGCTTGGAGGTGTTTGGCTTCCCCAGATAAGGAAAAGAGCAACGAAAAATTTTCTCTGTCAGAGTAAGTAACACTAATCAGACAAGTGTGCATGCACAGAGTGATGGAGCAAACTGCTAAAACACAATTGCAAGACAAGTGCTGAGCTGAAGCACCTTTGGTGACTATTTATATGCTGAGCCCAGCATGCAGCAGCTTACACTTAAATACCATTTGCTTTTCCTCTTCCACTGATGCACTGTGTATAAAACAAAAGGACACTGAGTCCCAACACCAGTGCACAGCTTCTGTGCTATCAGTGAAGCTGCAGCCTCTCTGCAGGCACAGTTGATCACTTGCTAACTGAGTGTAAAGCAGAAAATATCCACTGCCAGAGGAGCCTTTCAAAGGCTTTCGCAGAGCCTTTTCTTGCCTACCTGAGAGCAGAACCACAAGCTTGTCATCACAGAAGGGAGTACAAACCTTGAGAAAACGCTGAGACATGTGAGAGCAGGTCAGGAGATGTTGCTTATGTGGATTTTTCTTTTGTCTGATAGAAGAACCTGGATCTCCGTGACCTTTGTCTTGGCTCTGCTTCTCACAATTAGTGCCATGGGAAACGTGGGCCTTTTTCTCAAGGCCAGGTCAGAGGGGCAGCATGGAGGTGGCGATTATCGCTATCACCCCCTGAGGGAGATGAATGGAGAAGCCAGCCACACCTTCACGTCTGCTGCCTGTGAAGCAGAAGATGCTCAGGACCAAAGTCAGACACTCCTTTAGAGTCCCAGCTGGGAAAAGAGAAGAGGTATTTCACTCTGCACCTTGTACTGCCATTCAGCACTGACTGTTACAGAGAATTTTTAGATCCAGAGTGTAAAACTGCTGACAAACCCAAGAGCAGCAGCAGGGGATTTTAGTTCAAGAACTGCCTCGCTTCTTACCCAGCCCTGCTGAGGACAAGGCTGGCTGCCCTTACCTCTCCACCTGCTCTGACTGGAGCAGATGAGAGCTGCCATGCGAGGATGCAAGCCATGGAGCCAGCTTCCACACACATAGGAGAGAGTTCCACAGCTGCAGCAGAGTTGGAGCCATGGGTACTTCAGAAAGGTCCTTTGTCACACACACAGTGGTACAGTCGCTAAGTGTCCTGAAGAGGTAAGATAAACTGCATGTTGCCTCCTGCATAAAGATAGCCATAAGGAAGCTGCCTTAAGGATTATCTGATCTATGGTTATCTGCCCTTCCCTTGTGAGATTTTAAGATGCTAAAACAGCTGCAGCGCAATGAAACCACAACATTCTTCCTCCTTGCCACAGCAGTAGGCTCAGAGGCTGACACGCAGGGTTGTGGCTTTCTTGTGCCTTCTTTCCCCTTCCCCCCTCCAAACCTTATGGTGACTGCAGTCAACATCCTCAGTCCCAGGACTGATCTAACAGGTGTTTCACAAGCACTGTCTTTTTGGTCGATTCTTACAGCACAGCACCAGGAAAAGTCTGACTGGTGCACACACCTCAGCCTTGTCTTCTCTCCTACCTCCCAGGAGCAGCTCAGCCAGAGGTACTGCAGCACTGAGCCCTCCCAGCTGGGCAATGAATGGAGGAGGCAGCAGGACCTGACTGAGCCCAGGGCTGGGCTCACCACACCGCAGCCTGCTCAGTCTTCCCAGCACCAGGCTGCCCTCCCTCAGCTGCTCAGGGTCCCTGCAGCCCTTCTTGCTTCCTGCTGCTGGCACTGCCTTTCCATTATGGGGGTGGCAGCCATCAGGGAGCTGGGGCTGTGCTCTCTATTTCAGGCAGCCCAACATCCTGAACATCTCAGCTGGAAACTGGATGTTTTACTGGAGCACATACTTGCACAGTGTTAAAAAATATATATAAATATCCGGGTTTGCTTCCCTGGGAGGAGAAACTGGCCTTTAATATGCTGCTTTAATGCTGCACTTTTATTTTTAAAGCCTGAAAGACTGAGCCTGAACCTTTCTAATGCACTCTATTTTTAATCTCTTCAAGCAAAAGAAATGTAAACTTTTGTGCCACTGTTGGCATCAAAATCAACTTGTAAACTGAAGATTCTATTTTTCTATTGCTCACGGTGGCAATTTGAAACATGAATAAAGTCAATTAGTAATAACTGCCTGAAAGTGGACTGGTTAATGCTCGGCTGCAGGAGGAGGAACCGTTCGTCCCCAGTTGCTCTCAGTGGGTCATTTAGCCCTAACGAGCCCTTCCCATGTTAAAGAACAGTTCTCAGTTGCAGGGCTGCCCGTAGCAAACTACGTCCTGGTGTAGAAATAAACAGCAAATGCTGGTCCTACAGGAAAAGATAAAGACATTGCAGTTATTTAAATGGTAACAGCAACTGGATAAGAGCGAAACAACGTCAGTTACTGCAGATACCCAAACAGAGCAGCACAAGTGCTGAAATATTCAGGATTTGCCACAGGTGTGGAGGATTGGGTTTCATCAAACCATCAGACGTACCTCAGAGAGCTTTCTTGTTTTATTCCCGACTTACAGAAATGTACAGCTTTTACAAATACTGTATTTACCCTTTAATTTTACAAATCCTGTAACTAAGTACGTTTTTAGCATCAGATTTGCTGTCAAGTAACACAGTATGGAGCACCCAGCCTTTTGCTGCTGTGCTCTTCAAGAATAGCTCCTTGGTTCTTTTATTCCACCCCCCCCCCCTTTTTTTGGCTGAGGGAAATCAGGACCCCAATATATAAACCCAGACAGCTGCGAGGGACAGAAAGTAAAACTACTTTCTAAAAAATAATCATAATAAAAAAATAATGCCCACTTAACTTGTATGTAGCTGAATAGCTTGGAAGTGGACGTTGATGTCATTAAAAGCCAAGATGTGTCACACAATACCAATTTAGCCTTCCAGAAGAGAAATAACTACGCATAAGAATCACCAATTCAAGCAAGCTAGAGAAACGGTAAAGCCAATAGCATGCAGGAGTCTGACAGACGTGTCAGTGTTAGGCCTTAGGATCGAATAGCTCAGCTTTTTGCTTGATTTGGCTCCCACTGGGAGCACTTCAGGTCATAAAGAAGTGTTGGCACTGCTGCCCAGAGCCGACAGAACAAAGAGCTGACCAAAGAATGGAAAAACTCATCAGTATTTCAGCTATTTAGTTAAATCAGGGGTTGTAAATTCGTATTAAAGCTGTGATATTTTGCATCCCTGCCTCTGATTATTGAAGAAAAAAAAAAACCAAAACAACTGGCCAACCTTATAATGAAGTGAACATGGCTGTGCCTGAAATTCTGCAGCAAACATCTGTGGTCTCATGTACTGATGGGGCAACCAGGGTTACCCTGCCCAACAACAGAAGGGTGCACAGAGCCCAGGAGCAACACAGACCTGCACTGAGAGCCTAACAGTGGCTCTGTGTGCCAGCATTCAGCTTCACCCTTGGCATGTGGAAAGTGGTACGAAGCCCAGAGCGCTGCTTCTGCATCTCCCTGGACTGAAGTCTCCCTCAGGCCTTTCATAAGGCCAACTTTGTCTACAGCCATTACAAAAAAGCCCTTTTCTAACCCCAAACGTTTCACCCAAGTGGCTCAGTCACCGTCTTGCTGCTCTGTGTGATGTGACATCCACCCTCTGTGCACCGTATCCATGCTCAGTCCCGCTGAGGCAGAAGCAGGGAGCAGCAGGACAAGGTGGACCTGCAGGGATTGCTAAGAACAAAGGTTGCACGTATGGCCTGAGTTGTAAACAACAGCACAACGCCGTGTGCCACATCGCCCACGGTACCGTTTCCCTTCAAACACCTTAAACATGGCATCAGCTCTGTGAGGTAGGCATTGCGTTTTGCATGTGGAACATTTGAAACAGGAGAAAGCCCTCATTAACTGAGGAGTTCATTAGACATCCAGCTGGTTGTCTGAATGCAGCCCGAGCCCACTGTACTGAAAAACAGCTGCGAGGTCCTGCTGCATCCCCAGCTCCCTGCCCAGGCTCTGCTTTGTAAGATCTGCAAGGAGCCACTGGGAGCAGAATCCAGAACTCCGTCTGGACTGAGCTGCAATCAGCTCAGGAAGGAGCCATGCAGGAGCAGCCCTCCACCTCTGCCCAGCTCATCAGGGACCTCCCCTGGCAAGAGCCAAGCACCCAAGGCTTTGACAGCTGGGAGGAGAGCAGCACGTGCCCTGCTTGATATAAAATCAAATGAATCCAGCATAACAGAGAAGATTCTCAACCAGAGCAAGCTAATGGCAATCTAGAAATCACAGAACCACAGAATGGCCCGGGTTGAAGGGACCTCAAGGATCATGAATCTCCAACTGCCTTGCCACATGCAGGGATGTTCTACTGTGGGATGAGACCAACCAGCCATAAAAAGCTGAAGACCTGAAACATCACAGAGAGGGAAGGGCAAGGTTTGCTCCCCACGCTTCAGGAATCAGTTTGGATTTGTGCTTCTAGCATCTGAACTAATGGCAGGGTTTCACATTCAGGATACACACGTGCACTTTCAATTCCAGGACTCTTGATTCTCCAGAGCAAAGGCAGTGCTTTGCTTTTCCCTCTGTGTCAGATGCTGAAATCCCAGACATGTCCGAAATCACACAGAAGCTGAATTCATTTGGGAGAAATGGTGAAGTGTGCAGAGCAGCTGGGGAACTCCTGGACATCAGAACTGTCCCAGGACCTGCAGAACTGGGTTACCTGATCAATGCACACAGTGATGTAAGCTGGGGGAATCATTTCCTTGGCTCTGTTCCTTAAAAAAAGGACAATAAAACCTCCAAGCAACTCAAATAAGCACATCATCTTCTTTTGTTCCAATTGCTGGGGCTCTTTTCATCTTTGTGCTTCAAAATCACTGGTTAAGGAAACAGGGTTAGAAGGAATCACTCTATGTGCACCTTCTCCTCACCTGCACGTGTTCTTCAACCTTAAGAAAAGCTCAGTGAGAGGAAGAAAGGTGGTCTGAACAGTGAAATGTGGCCACAGATACCTGAGTTGCTGTGCTGGAAGAAGCTACACCTCCACCACAAACTGCTGCAGCTCTGCCCCAAGCCCAGCACCACCTGCTCACAGCTCACAGCGTTTCTTCGCCCTGGGAAACGTTCCTCTGGAGCCCAAGAAGCTTTGGGCTCCAACTGGACCTTGCAGGCACGCAGTGCTCAACATGCTTTGCACAGCAGCATCCAGCAGCCACAGGGATCAGAAGGAGATGCATCTGATCGTTCAATCATCAGTCGTTCCTTTCTCAAACAAAGTTCATCCCGTTTTAAAAAAATAACAATAAAAGGCAATTGGATTTAATAAAAACTCATTTTTCAAATTATAAATAAGTTAAACACGAACTCAAAATAAGCTGTTATTTGAATAAATACGTTTCAGTAAGTGCCCAAATACATACATGCTTTTTTTTTTTTTGTCCCCCTCTCTACAGCTTTCAAGTTAGCTCATGTTTTGAAGACTTCCATAATACTGCCATAATATTTTGTGCCTTCAGGAAATAAAATATTGCTTTTCTTAGCCCTTTATCATTTGATTTGGTTCCCATCTACTCTGATGAGACGGGTCAGATCCACCTATTATTGCTTGTAAACCTGAGGAAAAAGGTAAGGTATCTTTAAGAAAGATGCTGCTCATGGTGGCAGGGTCTCTGCCCCTACTCTCTAGAGAACAGTTTTGATTTTTGTGTCTCGGTGGGTTAAAAAGAATCCAACACATTTCCTAATAGCATCCCGTCAGATAGGAAGAGGTTTTAAGTTTGACCTGGATCTAATCTCTAAAACATCCCATCCATATGAAAGTATTTACAGTTTGCTTCAAGTCCCTGCCCTTGAAATGCCCACTTTACCTTCTGACGAGCAATTGGGCACTCAGAAAACGAGATTCATTTTGCTACAGGTGAATAATCCAGTCCTACAGACCAATCAGATAAGGCAACATCAGTCTCCTCTACCACGCGAGGGAAAAGGACTGACTGGAAGGAGCCCTTGAGAGTTGAGTAACACACAAATTCATGCCAACTGACATTCATCCAAAAACATGATTTAAGAAATATTCTGCTGAGAAATAGGCATCTGATAGAAAACTACGCCTGCCGTTTCAGCGCTGAGTCCCCTGCTGGGAGCAGAAGCTCCTCGCTGTGCAGTGGGTTCTGCCTGCGGTCGCACAGCGCCTGCCCCACTGCTCAGCCCTGCTGAGGAACCCTGAGGTTCTTTGGTTTGTGCACAGAGCAGCTCCGGGGCGGCCAGGAAGCCCTGAGCGATGTTTCCTCGTGGTGCAGCCTCAGCCCTGCTATCTGGACAGATGGGAGCTGCTCTGCGACTGGCTGGAAGATGTCGTGGCTCCGCTCAGCTGGGAAAATCCGCTGTTGCAAGATTCCAGGCTTGACATGGATCCCCTGTCATGGGACAAAACGGATGTGTTTGCTAAGGCAGGCTGCTATTTCATGGATAACCTCAGATACCTGAGATCAGCTTTCTGTAATGCTTAGAGAAGTACTTTATTTTTTGTCCCATCACATTCATAGAATCCTAGAATGGCCTGGGTTGCAAAGGCCCACAGTGCTCACCCAGCTCCAACCCCTGCTGTGTGCAGGTCACCAACCAGCAGCCCAGGCTGCCCAGAGCCACATCCAGCCTGGCCTCGAATGCCTGCAGGGATGGGGCATCCACAGCCTCCTTGGGCAACCTGTGCCAGTGCCTCACCACCCTCTGGGTGAAAAACTTCCTCCTCATATGCAACCTAAACCTCCCCTGTCTCAATTTAAGACCATTCCCCCTTGTCCTATCATTAACAACCTCAGGGTTCCTTTGTATCATAATGAAAAGTTAATTGTCACTGACATTTTGCTGACAGCAGGTATTACAGCTCTTACAGTTTACCTGGGAGTGCACAGCTCAGTGAGCCCAGGTGCTGCAGCCCACCAGGCCACAAGTCCCAGCCCCTGTGTTTCCAGCTGCTGTCCTCAGCCCCTGCCAACCCAGCTTGCAGTCCCCATTGCTACGACTGCTTGCTGTGTCTGCCACATTTTATGCAGGTGGAGCAACAGGGAAACGTTTGAGTAACTTGAGTTTTGCAGCTTGCTGCTGCTCTGAGCCCATGGGATCTGGCCAGGCCACATTCCCAAGGTCAGCACCCACCTATCTGCAAGCCCAGCCTACCCAACAATTCCTTCCAGCTCCTACTGCAGTCCTTGCAAACTCTTCAAACTTCTGGATGATTTTGAAAAGGATGCTTTGTGTTAAAGGAGGCTAAACAGATCCTGCAGAGATGGATGCACACGCTGTTGGGAAGATGCTCTCAAAGTCACATCATCATCCTCAAATGCCAGATGAAGAATGAATGAAACAGTCCAGCTGGTATTCATTCAATTACTTCTCAAAATGTCCCCCACTGCTATCAAAAAGTCCATCTCCCAAACACCTCCCACACCTCAGGCAGCTGCAATCAAGAAGCACAAGCCCCACTGGTGGACATCCATCCAAAAGCTATTTACTGCAAAGAGAAAACGCGATTGCCTCCCACACTAAGGGAGATCATTGCCACAAAATGCCAACTTTGTGTCCACCTGACTTATCAGCAATCAAACATACACCTGCTAGAGATCACTGGTACCTGGGTGTTTAAAGTCACACTTAGTGCTCCCACGTGGCTTTTTCATTGCAAGTTGCACAGTAAGCCTCCTACCTGAAGTCCTTGGATGCAAGCACCTCGTAGTAGTAAATAAGCTTGCACTTGTGACTGGAAACTTGCAGAGAGGCGAGAACATCATCCACCCGAGGGAGGCTGGTGCCAGAGCAGGGCAGGGGACCGTGCATTTTCCACTGGAGAATGTAGAAGCCGGGCCAGCGAGTCACGTGGGACCCCTGGAAGCAAAAGTGCCACTGAGTGCCCACTGTGAGTCTCACAGCTGAGCGACTCGGTGAAAGACCTCAGCTGCTAGTTACCGACCTGGGGAAGCATACATCATTCACTTCATTTTACATGCCTGAGCCACACCTCTGTAATGCTAGTTTAAAACCAACCGAACAAAAAACAAACCCCCAAAACCTGAACAACCACCACCAAACAAAAAGGTTATCCATCAAAGGTTATATATTCCATCAGTTTTTTATCACAGATTATGGAATCTCTTTGCAGTGGCTATGTCTAAACTGGAATCACAGCATGGTTGGGCTGGAAAGGCCCTCCCATTCCCCAGCCCCACTCCTGCCATGGGCTGTGCCCCCCAGCTCAGCTGCCCAGAGCCCATCTGTGGCCATGGGCACCTCCAGGGATGGGCACCCACAGCAGTGGCTCACCGCCCTCTGAGTGAAGGATTTCCCAACATCTAACCTAAATTCACCCCTCTTTTAGTTTAAAATCATTATAAAGTGCAACAGTAGTCATTTTCACAGGGAACTCAGGGGCGGATTGCCATGACAACTATTTCCAAGCAACTCACAATTTCCCATCCCACTCATTCCTTCCCTTCTCCACCTGCAGACCATGTTGGAGCACGCAAGGACTGCAAGGCACAGGCCAGGACACACACACCTCACCTGGATGCTCTCTCCTTCCCTGCAAACCAGTGGAGATTCCACACGGCTGTAATCTACACCAAGGACCCACGTCTTATCAATCAGCTGCACGTTGTCCCCAGCAGCAGAGGTACTTGGTAACGTGGCTTCCTTATGACTTGTTTCTGGAGCTCTTTTTGAGTGGAAAAGGCTGAACACCACATCTCCCTTCAGGATGTCAAAGTCCCAGGTGATGACAGACTCCCCTTCCAAAATCTCCACAACTATCTGTAAAGGAAATACAGCAAGCTCACGCACAGTGACAGGCCAGGTACTTCCATTGCAGCCAGCCTCTGCCTTCCCACTCTGCAAACATGCTTTTCCCTACAGTCTGCCAGGTAAGGGATTGGCCCCATTCCTAAGGAGGATACAGATTGATTCCCATTGCCAGCTGCTGCCCCAGTACCTTCTGCTCAGCCATTTTTATGCCATCTCTCCCCTGTATCAGAGCTGCTTGTAAATCAGTTGCCAGTTCCAGGAAAACCTCCATGGAACAGCAGCAAAGAGCACCTTCAGGACATACTCCACAAGGCACTGAGGCTTTTTAAGGAGCCCAGGCAAACCAAGTCAGTGTTATCCACTGCCAAGAAGCCACAAACAGTTCTGTTGCAGTGCTCCTTCTTTGAATGCTCTCCTTCTTGATGACCCAGCTTATGTATCACCACCACCCTTGCTAAGCCACCGAGAATGGAAGCAGTACTACCAAAAGAGAAGCAGAAAGGGCTCCATTTCCCCCAAAAGAATGAGGAAGAGACTGCATCCAACAGGAAATCAGGCCATGGGAAAGAAAAGCATTGCTTCTACACTACAGTTCTTAACCTCTTGACCTCTAGCTGTTAGCTAGCCTTGGGCTTCCCACTAAGCACATGATGCTGCTGAAACACATCATGCTCAATGCTTTGGAGCTCTCTGCTGTTCTACTCAACTTCAACAAAAGGAACACATCACCGGTATCAGCTCAGCACCTTCAGCTTTCTGATGCTCTGAAGGTTTGTACCTCGTGTGGAGCTCCTCTGAGGACACTTGCAGAATGGTAGATAGTTTCTGTCCATAGTCGGATGTGATCTGCATTCTCTGGCTCTTCATCCGTTTGATAAAGTGACTTGGGAACGAGCCCACCCTCTGGAACAGTGCACTGGAAGAGCCAGACAAACAAGTACGAGGGTTCATACTAAGCCAGTGGTAAACTGCTGAGTCTGAGCACCTGCCTGCTGTCAGACACAGGACAGCCATCCTCAGCTGGTGTAAGATTCCACACAGTTTATTTTTACTGTGATGATTTCTTTAAGTTCTGTTGAAGGAGCTGACCTGAAATTCCCTTCTCTGGGACAACAGCTTCAGAGTGCATGAATTAACAGCAGTGACACCCCAACCCCATAACAGAAATCAGAAAGGAGCAGAAGGTTGGTGGGGTGGGAGGGTGCATAGGAGGAGATTTGAGAGAGCTTAACCATTGCAATTCCACCTATGCAACAGGAAGGAAAACTCACCATGCAGTCTCCTCCTAGGAAGTCTGGGATCACCTCTTTGTCTACATAGTCTACCAGCCCTCCTGGGCCCTGGTAGTTATTCCCACTGTAAATAAGGAACTTCTGCCTTGTGTTCTCATTGATAAATGGACTGACCTGAAATAAGAGGTGAAACAAAGGACACCTCTGTCACTGAGCAAAGTTAGAAACAACGTTGAGGTACAATCAAACACGGATGCTTTGGAATCCAGACTGGAAGACCCCATTGGCAGGAATGCAGACCAACAGCAGTACAGAACTCCATAGAACTCCTCAACACTGAAGTTTTCTCCCAGAGAGAGGAATAATGAGGAAGAAAAGATTTTCTACTCTGGTAAAATAAGCGTGCACTCACAACATCACAGACAAACCTCTCAAGAAACGTATCAGGCACATTCTTACATTGCCATCACAGCCAGCAAGCACCAGGCAGACACATAGTGATTTCTTTTCTCTTTACTATCGTCCAGCACGAGACTAAGAACTATTTGTCTTTTTCCATTAACATGAAAACCCACCACATCTGGGCTACCACTGCTGCACCAGGATTTACAGTTCAGCTCCTCCACCCTGCCCTGGCAGAAGGACAGCCACTGGAGCCAAGCACATTGGCTCTGTAGCAAAGCTGTGGCCTCTTCAGGAGATCAGCCACGAGCTATCTGCAAGTTCATTCACTCCCTAACTCTCTGAATAAGCAGAACTCATGATAACCAGATGATTCAGCTCATTGTACATGCACTTATGATCCTACAGTCCTGATTTCACCCACCAGAGTCCAAAGCACAGGAAAAACTCTGGGTGCTCGCACTATCAGCAGTCGCCCCAGAGTTTCAGGGTAGTTGTCCTCTACAACCTCAATAATCCGAAGTAGGGCCTTGACTCCAGGCCGCCAGAGGTGCCGCATATTCAGCCCTTCCAAGTCCACCAGGCACGTCCAGGATCTGAAATAAAGATGAAGATGACCAGTCAGAGCCTTCACTGCACAGTGGCTGCTCGGTATATGACCCACAGAAGGTTTCAGTAACATCATGGGTCGAACAGGACCTAAGGAAGCCAGTGAGAGAGGTCAGCAGTTCCAATGATGAGCAGATCTCTGCCCACGCAGCATGCAGCTTGAACCCAGAGAGCTTTCAGGACACCAGATCCAAAAAGGACAAAAGAGATGCTCAGCCCCAAAGGCAAGAGCACAGGCTGTCAGTGCGGAAGAAGGCAATGGTGTAACAGCATATTGTTAAAAGACCTACAAATTGTATTTTGAGATGGAAATGGAATCTGGCAGGTGGTTTTGTTTTTCTGAAAGAGAGGGAACATCGAGGTTCTGAATTAAAATCACTGTAATTGTGTGGTTACACTCATCTGAAGGGGGACAGAAAAAAAAGTAAGGAAGAACCAATACTTGCTTTCATATGGAGCTGTAGAGTTAGGCCTGCTGTGTAAGATACCCCAAGTCCAGGCAAGAACTGAATGCACGACACAGACCACACCGCTGCCTGCAGTTTAACCCTAAGAACATCATCTAAAAGCCCCCACGGAATTATTATTCTTACTACAAAGCCTATGAGGATACAAGAAAAATGGATGTACTAACGTGATGGGGCGCCCAAAGAGGTTGGTATTCTCCTCACATCTCTTTTGTCCTTCTTCATTAATTGACAGAACCTGAAATTAAGGACAGTATAGACATGCATTAGCCCAAGTATGACTGAGGAGCCTGGAAAGCTCCCGAAACCTCTCAAAAAAAAAAAAAAAAAAAAAAAACAAAAAACAAAAAACCAGAATCCAGAAATATACCAGTCTGATTACTTACAGTGTGCAAAGCAGTGAGTCTATGTGTAGAAAAATGCATTTAAAAGCTTTTCTACTGAGAAGTTCAGCTGAACATAGAAGATACAGACACTGAAAATCTAAGACAGAGTACAAGAGTCCCAAGGTCAAATGCAGAGTTGCACAGAAGGGCATGGAAAGCTTACAGCTGAGCTGCATGTTACCAGAGAACATCCTTCTGGTCCATTCACACCATCACAGAAATACCACTTCCTGCACAGGAAGAGAAGCTGTGCTATGCCAAAGGTGTAGCTTGGGGTTGCCAGTCATGAAACACAGGAATTACTTGTGTCAGGCATGTAGATTACTGCTGCACTACAGCAAGGCTATTACACACCAAGAGAAATACAGCTCCTCAAGTGGGAAACGAATGCAGATCTTACGTGTCGCAGCAGTGACTCTTCTCCCAGGGCTTTCACCAAACCTTTTGTGTCCATCTGGCCAAGACGAAGGATGTAGAGCGGTCGCCCATCTTCAAAACAAATATACAGGTTTAAAAAACAGTAACTGGCCTTGAAATGCTTGGAGACGTCAAGATCTTCAGTGAATGCAGGTATGCAGGTTGTTATCCTAATGCACTCCCCAGTCGTAGTGTCCCCTGTGGCAAAACACTGCTTGGTCTTTGCTATTCTCAGTGCAGTGAGGACAAGGTAAGAGTAACACAGCCAGACTGTCTGGATCTGGGATGTCCCCTCAGATTTTAGGGTCTCTCAGCATCAAGCACAGAACAAAGTTTCTACTGCATACAGATGTGTCCAGAGCCTGCCAGCCTATCACTCCAATACCTTTTGCAAATGCCACATTAAATACTTGAACAGGATAAAAAATCACACCCCAAGGACGCCCTATCAAAGAGATGCTGCCCTGCACTAGCTCTAGTTCTGCCTGGTTTGTGGGGAGAAAACAAAGGAGCTACAGCAAAAGAGAGAGGCCGTCTATTTGCAGATGTTAAAAGTCCTTTGTCAGTGTTTAAAGGACCAACACAACCTTCTCCTAAAAACACAAGTGACTTATGAGGTCTTACAATGGAAGCTACACTGATCAACGGAAGGGAGGACCTTCTAACCTCTGTCCTGATAATGCCATCCTCCGGTGTAGTACTCATCCAGCAGGGCTGGGGGCCTCCAGGACTGGAGGATGTAATCCACCTGGTACTGCTTTCTCCAGGACAGAGACTGGCAGAGCATCTCCCGAGCTTTGTCAATGTTGAAGTCACGAGCCCGCAGGAATCGAAGGATGTGCTCATCTTTGGGGATCTGAGGGAAGAGAGAAATGCTGAGGGTGGCTGCTTTTGCCACCACACCACGAAGAATGCAAACGAGCCCACAGGGCACATGCACCAGGCTTTAAATCCCCAGAGCCACGGTAACAAAGGTTGAAGACACATTCCTTCTTCTTTCTCCTTTCCTAGTCCAGGCCAGTGCAGCAGGTGGTGCTGTGAGCAAGAAAGAAGTGACAAACCTGCATCCCTTTGAGAGATACGGGCCAGTTAATTTATCTGAGCATTGCTCCTTCGTTATAAGGGCCAACAGTCAGAAACCCCAACGAGCTCCGGGCTGGCTGAAGTTTCCCACGGCTACCTATCAACAAGGACAAACCAAACGCCTCTGCTCAGTAACACAGCTGCAAGTTCACCTCCCTGTAGGGCAAATCAGCAAAGGATGAGAAGCCTTTGTAGGTAATGCGTTGCCCAAGTTACGCATGTGCTCTTTGGAGGTGTATCAGCACTGTCCACACTTCAAACAATTACCCATTAGCACCGCATTTCAGCTCTTGTGCAGATCTCTTCTGCTTTGCTGCTGGTGTTGTTTGGACAGCAAAGCTTTCCAGTTCTTCCACAGGCACTCCCCATCCTTTTACATTAACTCTTACCAAAAGGGATGACCCAAACATCATGATATCCCCTCACTCAGTTCATAGAATCACATCGTGGAATGGCCTGGGTTGAAAGGATCTCCAAAGATCATCCAGTTTCAACCCCCTGCCATAAGCAGGGCCACCAACCAGCAGGCCAGGCTGCCCAGAGCCACATCCAGCCTGGCTTTGATTGCCTCCAGGGATGGGGCATCCACCACATCGGTGGTATGCAACTAGAACCCAACTGTTTTCACACTTTGTTAATTTCTCATCTCAGTTCCTTCACCCCAACTTCCCCAAAAAGTGTGTGACCTCAGTTCCTACATCAAGTTCCCATTAAAAATGTAAGCTCTGTAGAGCTGGGACAGCCTGCCCCAGAGCGTCTGTGCTCAGCACAATGCATCTGAGCCATCTGAGCCTTGCTGTGACACAAAACGGCTGCCTTCAGAATCAGAGCTCTTTTGTTTGCTCCCTGACAGGCTCATGAAAACAGAAAGAAAAGAAGAAAAGCTACCAGCAGTGTCAGGTTGGGAGCAACCTCAGTTGTGCAGCTGTAAGCAGTATTAAGAACTGAGTCCATATAATGGTGGGTGGAGCTCAGGAGTCTAAAGACAAGCACCTGCAGATGAGATGGGATATCAGTCCTGTTCAGCACAACGTTGTGTTTCAAGCACTTTGCATTTCGCAGAAAGGAAAACGGCAGCTTTCCTAAGCAGGATCTGAGACATATTTAGATGAACATCCCCAAATCCTTCTGCATCGCAGTAAGATTAAAGAGAGCAGAATTTTCATCAGATGATTTAAATTGCATTTTTGCTGCTCAGGGGAAGCCATAACTCTCAGGACAAGAGAAAAAACAAACAAAAAACCAAACATCTACAACAGTCCTGGATATCCTGCAAGAGGAGGGAGAGGTCACAGCTGCTGCAGGGTTGTATTTATTGGTTTTCAAATCTAGGCTGTATGTTCAACAGGCAAGAGGCAAATTCAGTGCTTATGTTTAGACCAAAGAAAGGTGTCTCCAAGGGGACACGCTCTCTTGATTGTCTTTGCCCAACCAAAGCACTAACTTCCATCTTCAAGAAGACAGATTTAATTCCACTCTGGTGCTTACCAGTGAAATTCTGTGCACTGTGTCCTACATGGCACAAATTCATTCATTACCATTACAAGCTTTAAGTGCTTGCAGTTGTAACACTGTTTGAAGTTTGTGTGTTTGCATGAGGAATGATAAATCTGATTACAGAGTCTGTTTGGAAAGGGACAGGGACTGGATAGCAAAACAGGGGGACTGAAGAGGAAGGAGGAGCTGCACACACTCACAGAGCCTCTCCAAGAGCCTTGCTGTTTCACTTTGCTCATCTGCTTTCATTTTTACCTTTCCCAGCTACCATTTCCTGGCCTCCAAGAGAAGAAAGAAAAACCTACAGAACAAGGCAAGCAAACATTTAGAACATCCCTCCTCCACCTGAAACTGAGACCCTAGCAGATCACACACGTGGATAAAGCCTCACAGCCTTGCTCTCATCTAGGGCTCGTTTTCAGCTGGACACCCAATAGCCAAGACATCTCCTACCCATCACAGAAAGCCCACGCTGTTTCGTTTGACACGTCACTGCTGACCTGAAAGCCCACATCCTCTATTTCAGAGCATAACTACACCCGGGAATCCCTGCCTTTGCTTTGTGCCTGCTTGTTGTCAGCTCCCCTCCATCTGACAGCGGGTTGAAACGAGGGCAGACCCAGGTGGCAGCCGATATGCAGTACAGCATATTTTAGTAGTGAAGCTGCTGGTGGGAGCAGGTAACCACTCACATGGTTCCTTCCCATGCACTCAGTTACCTGGTTGGTTGGGAAGCCAAGCCCAGATATGTGCACTCAGATCACCACAGCAGTGTGCTAGCAGCTTGCTGGTAGGTGTTCAGACAGTCCCTCAGGGGGTCCTTTGTTCTACTGTGTGTGTGCACGCATATACATGGATGTTACATAGTCCTGCCTATAGCAGCCCCCACTCTCTTGGGCACAGTCCAACTTACACAACCTGCTGCTGATGCTGCCACAACACCAGTGGCCTTGGACAGATCTGCCAGGTGCTTGGCGTTCCAAACTCATCAGCTCTAACAAACCCAGCAGCATTGCTGGTGCCTGGAGACTGTCAGCTCCTCAAAGACTTTCACGTCCCACCTCAGCACACACTGCTATTCTCTTCAGCCTCCCGTTTTCTGCTTAACTTTAACTTTTTCTCCATCCACATCCACAGGTGAGGAAGATGCAGCAAAGCATGCAGAAACTACTGGCAGAGTTCCTTGTGAATGGCTTCTTTCAGAAAAGTTAGTTAAAAAAAACAAAAAACAAAAAACAAACACTGCTATTCCAAAGCCTATGAATGCAGACTGGTTCCTAATGATTCTGTGACTGACTGGGCAGTCATCTTATAGGCCAGTAAAATAGTACTATTGAAAACATATCCAGCTCTACTCTACTGTCAAGGGAGATCCCTGCTCCAACCATCTCCCATTTTCCTCTTTTCCCAAGGTCTCATTACCATTACCGTTCAATTAATCCATCTCATGTCTACTGTTGGTCCTTTCTTCCTTCTCACCCCATCTCCCTGCATCAGTAAATCTGCAGACAGACCCCTCTGAAGACATTTGAGCTGCACCAGGTCTTTTCTCAGTCACATATTCCTTATTGTCCAGCCTGATATTGAGACTCCCCCTCAACTAAGAGGAGTCAAGGTAGCTTACAAACATTACAGCAACCTCAGAGGTGCATCTAGTCTATGGTACCCACATTGATTCTGGGGGGTAAAAGCATGTTTCTACTACACTAGCTGGCCAATGCTGGCTGTAGTTGCTCCAGCTTAGCACCCTCACCTCCTCTATTTCAGCAGTTTACACAATATACCTCACACCATGAGGTGAGGTGGTCCCTACTTTCTGAATTCAGTGTGCCTTTGAAATGGTGCTCTTGGGTAAAGGGGATTAAAACAAGATCAGAATGAATTCTGCTCCGAAGAATCCAGCCCTGGGCTGTACCAGCTTACACAACCTGCCTGATCCAACACGCACAGCATGCTGCTGACAGCATGCACTGAGAGCCAGGGGTTGCTAACTGCCTCTTTGATGAGCTGCAGCTGCCAAGAGAGGACTGTGCCATCAGCACAGCCTCCCCACGCTGCAGGACTGGGGAAACAGTGCATCCATCCCAGCCAGCCCAGCCCTGATCAGTGCCCACTGTAAATGCACAGCCAAACCACTCTGCCCGGGTACCACAGAGCAGGCTTTCCAACACACACAGGGCTACAGCTGCAGTCCGTGATGCTGCTGTCAGTTCGCACCGGCTGTTCTCCATGCCAAACCCCTCACATCACCTTGCCACAACAGCTGAGTCTCAACACCCAATTATCACAACTGTGTTTTACTGTGGGACATCCGAGCTATGAGAACAGCTGCTTTCAGACTCGCAGAAGGGTTCTCTCCATGTTATCTACCCACCTTGCCTTTGTGGGTTTCTTGAAGCCACTGCCGAAGTCGGATCAAGCAGCTCTCTTGCATTGGAGTCAGCTGGCCCAGATATCGCTCGATGTAATCAGCATCCAGTTTGTCAGCTGGAGAAAGAGAAAGAGCAATTCGGAGGAGAAGGGACATAGCCAGAAGAGAGGTATGTGGCTGTTTCTACACATCAGGTTACTCATTATGTATGCCTGAGAAAAGTGGGCGAGCAATCCCCATGGTGATTAGGGCACGAGGACACAGACTGTGTAAGACTGCAAAGCCAGGTCACTCCACTTGTCTCTCAGAGCACTGATATTTCATTCAACCCTGACTATTCCAACAGAAGCTTTTAAAGAACTATCATCACAAGCTCTGGCACTCATCTCACGAACCACTCTGAGGCTGGGGCACTTAAATCCCCCAGCGTCCTAAAAAAACTCACTCACAATTTCAATGACAAGAGGCTAAAAAGCAGTTATTTGAAATATTATTCTGCTTGTAGACACCAGAGGGAAAGGGAGAATAGCTTGAACACTTCAGACAGCAAGGGAAGCTTTTGGCATGAGGATGCCCTGTGCAAACCAGGAGCCCAAAGTCCCTCCAGATCAGAGAGGGACAAAGGACAAGAGCTCTGAGCCTGCCAGCACTGAGAGAGGGACACAGCTGTGCTGTGCAAGGCTGGTGTGTGCAGATGCCAGTAAGGAAGACGTGGTACCAAAAGGGAGCAGCACAGGGCAGCGCTGGGCTGGAGACAGGCAGGCACGTGAGAAGGGCTGGGAGGAGGACTTCAGAGACAGCTCTACAACAGGCTCTTACTTTCCCCAGCAGATACCATCAGCTGCAGAATAAGGACTGGACACCCACAGCATGCACCATCTCTGGCTGATGATACAGAAATGATATGCAGTAAGTGCTACACCCACACAGAATGCAGAGCTAGCAAGCTGAGAAGCAGACCCGAGGAAGTTAATCACTTTATGAACATGAATATAAACAGAAAGAGCTGCTGTCCCCTTCTGCTAGACACAATCTGCCACTTTTAGATTAAAGTTAATCTCAAAGCACAGAAAGATTTCTCGTTCTCAGCTCCTATATGGATTTGGATCGTGTTTGCAGGCAAATTGCAACAAAGAGAAGCTACAAAAGAAGGCCCACACAGAGCAGAACCCTGGAAAGTTCCAAGTTTCAAGCTTTTTCCTGAGTTACCTTCAGCTGAAAGAGCAGCTCTTTGCTTCTGAGAAGCGACAGCTATTTCCAATACCACCAACCTAAATTAAAAGGCTCTCTTCAAATCTGTCAGAGAAGCACCTTTAGTCCAGAAGGTATCATCAGGTCGATACACATAAAGATAAGGTTCAGTTGTGTGATTTTGTCTTAGATTGGTGTGGGGAAACATCCACTGAACCAAACAAAACCATGAGAACACTCACTGTGAAATGGACAAAGCCTTTAACAGTAACTCATCGGCACTGTGCTCAGGATACTTCTAAGCTTCTCCAGTTTAAAGTATAAAATGTAAAAAAAAAAAAGTATAGTTCATAGTGTATAAAGTAAAAGAGTAAAGTTTAAAGTATAAAATGTCTTAAATATCAGATCAAAGCCAAAGGTTTTTCTTTAAACTCAAAAGAATGCCCCTTATACTGCCTGTGAAGCTTTTCTCAGCTTTTCAGGCTGGGGGGAAACAAAGCTCAAACGTTTGTGTTGTTCTTGAAGAAGGAAAATAACATTCCCTCTTCTCCATCAGCAACGAGAAGAAAAAAACCTCATGAAAAAAAAAAAAAAATATATATATATATAAATTAATTATGAAATGCTACTCAGGGCATTTGAACTGCCAGCAGCTGCTGCTGCCTGGACACTGCATACCATCAGGGCTGACGGGCTCTGCTGGGGGGCAGGAGCTGCCTGTTTGCTCTGTGGGAGATCCCTGAGCCCCAGACTCGAGTGGTGCATCACTGGGCTCGTGGCTGGCTGCTGGGGCTCGCTCTGCCTTCTGCCCGTGTGCCACAGGAGGCGTCCAACGAGGGATGAACGTGATTCCTTGGGAGATCAGCTCCTTCAGGTAGTGCTCAATAACTTCCTTGCCCTGATAGAGGAAAACCGACGTTAGGAAGGAATACCCCATCTACTCAAAGCCAGCCAGATGCCAAAGATCCCCCCTCAGGATGGATGACTGTCGCTGTTAGAGATAAGCAAAAGGAAAGCAGCCGTCTCCTTCCATCTGCATGAACCTCCAGGAGAAATGTCAGCACGTACAGATGGCCAGGCACACTGCGATGCTCTGGGTGGAACCCTCTTACAACACGTTTATCCTACTACCTGTCAGTCAGCCAGGCTGCTCCTCTGCAGCCGTGGGGAAGCACCTCTCCCTCGAGCAATTGCAGGGACAGTGCTGATTTTTTAGCCACAACTTTCTCTTCCTACATGAGAACAGTGTCCTCAGTGTCTGAGGAGCCTGGCACCACAGCAGCCACTGGCACAGCCTGCTCCCTCCCCTGCACAGAAGCATTTCAGTGGACAGCTTGGTTTTGCTCGCTGCACAGTGGCTTTTTTCTTTGTTTGCCTTTCTGAGCAACTCCAGAGACATAAGCAGCAATAGAAAGCTACAGTAGGCCTGTTTACAGAAAAGAAAACAGAGATGCACTGACAGCAGGCACTTTTGTGAAGGCACACAGCGAAGCCCAGCTCACCCGTTTGATGTTGGACGTGTATTGCTTCATGGCAATCTTTTCCACTGTGCTTTCGAAGCCAAAGAATGACTTGATGTCGAGAGATGCAGACTGCTCAAAGCACGTCCACTCTTCATTCTCAGGGTGAACCTAAGCCCAAAGACAGACAGACACAGGGTTGGATGGTAGCAGGCAGCTCACAGTATGACAGGGCCCTCGCTCCTGGTACTGAATTGGGCTGAATTTAATTCCAGAGCTACACAGAGGGGCAGAAGAGGCGTCCTGCAGGGTGCTGACAGACCCACATCTAACAGATTGAATCCCCCAGAGTTACAGAAGCGTGTCATGAGTTGGACATGTGAACCTTTGTGGTTAAAGGAGCATTCCTCACGCTTACAAAGAACGTAAGCTTAAAACCCAGCACATCTGAACAGCTGCATGAATAGCAAAACTAAAATAGCAGCAAGACTGCTGTTTTGAAACTGTCATGGCAAAACCTCCTTGCAGAAGGCCTGGGACAACCTTTCAGTCTACATCTATAGCAAAGGAAGAAAAACAGGGCTTTTCTAATTCTGGGTAGGAAACTCAGCCGCTGAACATCAGCCTTGCCCACCAAACACAGCATGTGTGGGAGAACCAGGCATCTTCTCACTGCCAGTTCAACGTCATGGAATCCTACAATGCCCTGGGTTGCAAAGGAGCACAATGCTCATCCAGCTCCAACCCCTGCTGTGTGCAGGTCGCCAACCAGCAGCCCAGGCTGCCAAGAGCCACATCCAGCCTGGCCTCGAATGCCTGCAGGGCTGGGGCATCCACAGCCTCCTTGGGCAACCTGTGCCAGTGCCTCACCACCCTCTGGGGGAAAAACTTCCTCCTAAGATCCATCTTATCAGTGTAGCTGCTTCCCCCTGGTTACCCTACATATGATTAAAACCTACACAAGCTTTTCTTTTCATCTTCTGAACCTAATCCTTTCCTGGGGGGGCTCTGCCTCCTCTCTGCAGGTGCTGCTGTTCACAAACTGGTGTGAAAGGAAAACCCAGCCCACTCACAAATACACAGCGTGCTCTACAAAGGACACAAATTCCCTCAGGAAAAAATACAGCAGCTGCAAGAGAAGGATCATATTTCTGCAAGTTGCTTCAGAGAACACTGCAGAAAAGGAAAGATGAGAATAAACCTGCTTCCGGTACGTCCTGGCAGGGAAAAGAGAGCTGGTAAAAATAGAGCAGAGAACCATCTTGAGGATGCAGACAGCTTGCTCCCACTCTGTTCCAGGAAGAGCTCTCCTCAAAGCCCAGCTGCTGACGTTTCCTTCCGAAGGACTCAAGCCGGAGAGGCAGCACAGCCAAAATCAGCAAGTGCAGCAGCGTGAGCAATTCCAGAGTTGACCTTCCATGCATTTCACAACTGTCAACACCCTTCACAGCCATGGAAGCTTGATTTCCTGTCATTTTCGGGAAATGCCACGTAGCCACTGACTGATCTTTGGTTCAGGAACCTCCCCTCACCATCCAAAATGGTTAACAGCTTTTCAACTGTCTGCCTTGCTTGAAGCAGAAGCTACTTACAGTTTGCACACTCCCAAGAAACCGAGCTGCTGTCCAGCTGCCAAAAGGGCAGGTAAGTAACGGGATCTAGACTTTTGTTTAGGGAACAAAAAGCAGTGTCTGATCCCTTCAAGAAACAGTCCAAGCTGTTTAATGGTGACTGATCCCTAATAGCACAATTAGAGTGAAATGGCATACTGTTGCTGAAGGTAGAGACACAGAACAAGTGACCCCAGGCCACAGATAAGACCTTTCTCCACATGTCTCACTGAGAGGGTGGTGAGGCACTGGCACAGGTTGCCCAAGGAGGCTGTGGATGCCCCATCCCTGCAGGCATTCAAGGCCAGGCTGGATGTGGCTCTGGGCAGCCTGGGCTGCTGGTTGGCGACCTGCACACAGCAGGGGCTGGAACTGGATGATCTTTGAGATCTTTTTCAACCCAGGCCATTCTATGATTATGATTCTATGTTTAGAGCAAGAAGATCATTATAAAACAGATGCTAAAGTTTTCACTTGTAGGCAAAGAGATAAGTTAGTTGCCAAGTTTTCCTGGCAATGCAGGTTTCCTCCTAAATACCCAAATCTAGATACATGTCCAAAATCCCAATGCTTTAACATCCTGAGTTTCAACTTAAAGAAACCCAGGGAACACTGTCAATTCTGGATCACCGTTCCTGTTTTCTGCTCTCACTCTAGATCCTAACACTCCAAAAACAGTCAACTTAAGGAAACTTCCCAGGCTCCACAAAAGCCCTGGAAAAGGCCTGTTCCCCAAAACCGAATGGCCTTCCATTATCCAATTGTACTGTACAGTCCAGGGCTCAAATTCACTCAAGAAATGTTGCCCTACACGTTGGCACGTGGCTTTCAATCATTTCCTCACAGACAAATAGGATCAAGGCACTCACTGAGTAGCTGCACGTCTCAAGGACGACCACACGGTTGGCAAAAGTCTCATTGTGGGCTTCAATGCGGAGCGTTCGCTCCTTCCAGTTCACCGTGTTCTTCTGTATGAAGAAAACATACTCTACCCCTGCAATCTGAGAAGGGTGGAGAACCAAAAGGGGGGAAAAAAGCAAGAGGAAGAGAGAAAGAACAGCTTTAGGAATCTTCACTGTTTTGAACCTGCCAACAAAACTCAGCACTCTGTGCCCCTTGGATTCCACTCACCTTCTTTAGCAACCGAGGAGCATCCACATTCAGCTTGCAGCTCCGTTCAATGACGTGGATTGCTCCATCGTCGCTTTTGGATTCATGCAGGATTTCACTTCCTAGGAAGACTGGGATCTCTGGACATGTAGGAAAGCGCTTTTCGTATGCCTGGAAGTAAAAAATAGAGCTGAAGTTTTTTTTATATACACGTATTTCTGCTTCTGGCCAGATCAACTAACTGGCTGTGAATTACACGGGTTGCATAAAGAGAAATTGTAGATGCCCCATCCCTGGTGGTGTTCAAGGCCAGACTGGATGGGGCCCTGGGCTGCCTATGTAGCACCTGATCGAATGGTTGGCAACCCTGTCCACAGCAGGGAGGCTGGAACAAGAAGATCATCAAGGTTCCTTCCAACCCAAGCTATTCTACGGTTCTACTTGTTTCCCTTAGAGTAAGAGCCCAACACGTGGATGCCTTTCTTCTCTGCTAAAAGGGGAGCCAATGAAGGGGGTGAAGTCAAATCCAAATACGTATGAACACCGCTGGCATCCACTCATGCCAGTCACGCAGCTCATCACGTCTTCACATCTCTTTTCTTTCCCACGCAAAGCAGAAACAAAACCACGTTGTTAACGAGTAGTGGGAAGAGAATCAAACCCTGAACATCAGCAACAGAATCTTCAGCTATCACAGAAGGCCAGCTATGCTGTTTTCTGCTAGCTATGGACTTGACCCAGAGATGACAACATTCCAGTCATTGCCTGTACGAAGAAACAGTTTTGAAATATTTAATACTCCTTTGTCCCAAAATTGTGATCAACTGTTGACACTAAAAACTTATCAAACTGCTATGGATGCTGCAGACTATCAAGGGTAAGACCAGCAATTGCTGGCTACTCAGTTGACTATGATCCACCCGCTTCCAAAATAATTCAGTTCTAGTTCTGAAACCTTCGCTTTGATTTACTCCCCTGCTTCCAAAAAATCTTTCCTCCAAAGGTTCTTTATCAGCTCTTGGAAAGAAAAAAAAAAAAAAGAAAAAAGAAAGAATTCAGTCTCCATGGCACCTGCAGCAACTGAAGTTAACATGCACATTACCTACTGTTGCCCATTTTTCCCTACTTGTCAATCCCTCCTTACATCTCCAGATCTTTGCTAGATGGAACATTTTCCTTTCATTCCAGAGAAAGCACCTTGCACGTTGGGCTGCTATTGCAAACATAACTGAAGCAACATGAGCAGATGCTGCATAAGAAGCCCAGGATTCAGCTACAGTTGTGACTGCAGGGTAACCCGTGCTCCCTTTCCATTACACTCTCATGGACAGCTGCACCAATTTGGTCACAAGACATTTCTGCTATGATGCCACAGAGAGTCCCTACCATCTGCAAAATGCTGCTGTCTCCCCATCTCTCAGAATTATTAATGTGATGATCATTGAGAACAGCCCAGCTCTGCCGAGGGCTGGCTGCATTCTCCTCCCACAGCGGTTTGATGGGTTGGATGGCCCAGTGTGCATTTGTGTACCCTGGTGCTGGGGAAAAATACCTGCTCTTAAAATAGCTCAGGCACTTAAGGACACATTTCCTATCTCCTGACCCTAGACCTCAGAACAGAAGTTGTTTCAGATGGCCATATCGTGAGGAAAGGGAAAGCAGATTATTAGCTGGAGTCCCAGCCATAAGCAAAGCCTTTAACACTCCTCCCACAAGTCACTAAGCAATGCTCTGCTGTATTTGTTGGAGGGCTGTTGCTGTACCTATGAGACCTCCACTTCAGCATTTCCCTTCTAATCTCAAGGAAAAATTAAACTATTTTAGATGAACATAAAGCTTCCCATAGCGAGTGGCTGTTTGCAACACCAATCTGCGTGGCTCCACGTACTGAATGCAAACCCACTGCTTTAAGCAGCTGAACTCGTTATAATGATAAGCCATTCTGTGAAGTCAGACCCTACCAAAGGATGCTATTTGAATGGGTCACTCCTTACATATGCCCTTAACACACTTGCTAGAAGCATAAGTGAACATCCCCCCGTAAAAGGATGTTCAGTGAGCAAGGATTAACCATAAGAAAAAGGTTGAATCAACCCCGTCTCTTCCCCTAGGCCACCACTAAGGCTGGGTTTTTTCCTCATTTCCCACAAACTGAAGAAGTACAAAGCAGGCAGACTGAAAAGCTCAAGTATAGCAATGGTGGCCTCTATTCCTCTTTCTTTCAGGGCTGCAGCTGTACCATGAGCACTCACGAGGGGGGTCTGCAGAGAAACAAGAGCTGTTCTTGCACTAGATGGTGAACAATCAAAGCACAGCTGTTGCCCAAAAGCCCCACCTCAGTAGTTGTACCTGGAATACAGACCTGTGAGTGCTTCACTGCCACTGAGAGACCACCATGGCAAATCTGGAGCTCCACACAACTCCACCGAACCCAGGTACCTCTGGTTCTGTTTGAAGATGAGGCCCCAGGACCTCAACACACAGCTGTTCCTCCCTCCACTGAGTATGTGCTTGACCCAGTTGGAGACAGGCTTCCTAATGCACCATCATTAAATCTTGCAAAACCAAGATCAGGTCACCTATTAACAGCGTAGTCAGTCTCTGTTTCGGAAGCAGATGCACACATCCATGCACAACCGTGGTGACACAACCAAGACAACAGCCCAAACCCATCACCTGCACAGGTGGAACACTTCCATATTTGACAAAAAATCCCTTTCACACACTGATATTAAGTCTTTTGCTGATCTTCTCTGCGCAGCAACAACTCTAAAAATACAGCAGCCCAAAGATGCCCGAGATCACATGAAGGACAGCTGAAGCACCACGATTCACCCACAATGAAGTCACACTGTCAACATGCTGAATCTTTCACCACTGCAGAGAGTGAGCTACCAGGAGCCCTCCCTCACAAGCACCCAGCATCCTCTTATCAAGATCAGCATCTATAGAATGGCACATTTCTGCTCCAGCAGAGAAACTGAGGAAAATCAGGACACAACCATCTCCTTTTTTTCCCCATCCAGCACCAGAACTGATCGCAATTTTCTCCTCCTCCTCCATGATTTTGCAGAGTGCAAGGAGAACAGCAATACCCCAGTCAAATGAAAGGCACAGGGATTTATTATTAGCTTGTTTTAATACTTCAGCTGCTAATCCATCTGCATGTGCTCTCATCTCCGTGCTGCAGCAACTCTGCTCTGACAAGCATACAGAAACTACAACTTGTCTCCCTTCTCTGCTGCAGGAATTGTGCCACTATTTTTCCTTAAGTGCATATTCACTACACCTTAAGACAAACACTGTGATGGCCAAAGCACTGAATGCTGTATTAAAGAAAAAAAAAAGAAAAAATGGCTCAGTGAAGCTGAGCTCCCTCCCCTCAATCCTACAGGGATTAGCACTAGCTTGCACTTTGCACACCTCCTGCAAATCCTCCCACCCAACCAAGCCAGCACGTCACCCTGAATCCTGACTTGGGCTCCTTTTTCCAGCATCATCAGACTCTGCTATTGACTTCACACCAGCTTGGACTGGAAGAAAAATCCCCCAGCACAGCTGCAGGGGCTGTCCAACAGACCTGAGCACAGTGCATGCGTGGTGAACCAAGCAAACTCTCTCAACATCTCAGTTTACAAGAATTCTTTTCTTTACAGTTCAGATTTATGTCCCCTCTTCACTCCCAAACAACCACTGCACAAGAGATGGCGGCTCAGGCCCTACAGAGTCCTACTCTAAACCAAGAGGTTTTGTCTCTGTTTTCCTGTAGAACCACTGCCACAGAAACAGTGCCATGCTGTCCTTTGGTGGTGGGCTGTATGCCCACACCATGCCTACAAACATACAGGTGTCATTTAAACCTTTGTAGTCATCTCCATCAGACTGAAGTCACGTATCCTGATTTGCTCGTGAAGAACACCTCTCCTATGGGACAGGCTGAGAGCTGGGGATGTGCAGCATGGAGAAGAGAAGGCTCTGGAGAGAGCTGATCATGGCCCTTCAGTATGTAAAGGGGGGCTTTAAGAAAGAAGGGGACACAGTCTTTAGCAGGGTCTGCTGTGACAGGACAAGGGGAAATGGTTTCATACTAAGGGAAGGGAGATTTAGGTTGGATCTAAGGAAGAAGTTTGTTACAACACAGGTGGTGAAGCACCACAGGCTGCCCAGAGAGGTGATGGGTGGGGATGGGTGCCTTGTTCCTGGAGATACCCAAGGTCAGACTGGATGGGCTCTGAGCACTGATGGAGCTGTGGGTATCCCTGTTCACACAGGGGAATTGGACTAGATGGCCTTTAAGAGTTCCTTTCAACTCCAGCAACCCTATTATCTTTTACAACAGCTACTCCTGTTTCTCCTCTGCAGGTTTCAACAACTTCTCCAGCAAGCGACTTTGAAGTCAATTACACAACAGAGGCCTTAGGAATCACAAACAATGGGGAAGTCCAAGCACTGAATTACAGCTTAAAACAAAACACCTCCAAACTAAGGATGAAGTGACAAAAAAATGCATCTGTGTTCAGACGAACGGGGAAACAGGAGACACAGTATCACATTTTGATATAAACATGTCAAGATCATCAGCCTTTTGGAAAGGGATGCAAGAGCAAGATAGGACCCCTCACCACTTTTACATAGGAAGTGGAGGAGTTTATTCTACCTTTTCAGTAGCTTGAACAAGATATAATTATCTCCAGATTCAAGTATTTTCAGGTTTGGCCTTCCAGGAAAAAGTAATCATTTCATCCAGGAAAGCCTCCTACTGCTTAGCCCAAATGCAGAAAGGAAAACAAAGGTTCTGTACACACATTCACCAGGCAACAACCCATCTGCTTCTTAATCACTACAACCTGCAGAGAAACATAACAACCTTTTGGACCTGAGGGAAGCCAGTTTTGATTTGCCAGAGGTCCGCTGGACAACAGTTACCCAGGCTGGGAACGTGGATCAGAGCTCTGCCTCCCTGGACTGCAGTCAATCATTTCTCTCATTCCTTCAGATCTGGGTGAATGAAACAATTCAGGGAGCACCAGCTGCCCATTACAACACAGGCACAACCGAGTGACATGGCACCAAAAGCAGGACATGCACTGCAGCTGCACAGAGCTAACTTGGGAAACTGCCACTGTGCCCAATTTCCTGTCTGAGAAGAAATGTTATCCCATTCAAGCTGC